AGGTCGCTTCTGACAAATAGCTAAAAAGCTCAGTGGGCCTTACCTTGTAAAATAAAAATAATAAACTAGTTTTAATCATTAAGTTTGAAGTAACGTCTAAACCTGAGGATATCTCTTTGACACTTTACTAAAACAGCGTGGTATGCATATTCTTTGGGTCTTTCGGTAAAGTCACGTGGCTTTACCGAAAAACCCAAAGAATATAAATTCCTGCAGTTACGAAAGCTTTAAGTCAAGATTCAGTGTGGTATGTTTATTCGATAGAGAGAGACATAGGCAGAGGATGCGAATGATCTGAGCCTTGGTTTGAACAGGGCCAGGGAGTCTACATAATGGATGGCTGTGGAAAGGAAATTCCAGGCTCTTGGGGCAGCAGAAAAAAAAAGAGAGCCATCTCCCACTGAGTGAAGGTTGACTGGGGCAGAGAGTGCGAGCAGATTGAGGTGAGAGGTAGGCAGGGGCAATTTCGTGGATGATCTTAAAGATGCGCTCTTGACATTGTTCCAGGATTTAATCGGGAGCCGTGGAAAGGATCGGAGTATTGGGGTGAGGTGGCCTCGTTTAGAGGGTGCGGCTGAAAATTCTGGCAGTGGAATTTGCGTCATCCGGCGTCTGGAGATGAGGGATTTGGGGAGGCCGTAGAGGAGAGCTTCGCATTCGTTAAGTTGGGCCTGCCACTGATGGATAAATGAGGTCCTGCACAGGTGATACCTGTGTCAAGAGAACGGGAGCCCGGGATAAATGACAAGTCCAAGTTGTCACAGACACTTCAGCGTGATTGATGCCAGAGTTTAGAAGGTTGTGCACTCTCAAACCGAAAACTTCACTGACGATGGACGTCAGTGAAGAATACTTCTATTGTATAACATTTACCTAGAGGAAATTAGAGCCATTCCAAGATGAGACTGTTCCCAGGCAGGATGTGAGACAGGACAATGAGGGAAGGTTCATATAACCTGCAAATTCTAACTATACAACACTATTCCTGACCCTCTCCACTCTGAAGGGAAAATGAAAAATATAACAATATTAAAATACAGCCCTTTGTTAATTTACTGCCAGATAGCCTCCTCCTCCTCACGACACTAGTCATGGGGCCTCTTTGACCATACTTCACCATTCTGGTCAGTGCGGGTTGGTGAATGGGGGCCAGGACTGGTTCAAATTTCATTCACCAATGATATTAGCAGTGGCCTCAAATCGATTTGACAGTGTGCACGAAACCGCAGTCCCAATGTTCCCCCTGGTTCCCAGACTGTCAATCTATATACAGTGTGTTCTCCTATCATGCGGTTGTTGCGTTTCTAAAGAGCACCGCGTTATGGAAAAATCGCGTTATGATAAATAATATAGGGTAAAGCACAGTCCGCGATAACGCGTGAGATGCATAACGCAGGCAGAACAAAGACTGAGGCTTGTGGATAGCGTCTAGAAGCATCCAAAAGCATCCCAATGCCTCGCGATAATGCAACGCAGAAGCAGCCTCGTGACCGCTGTATTCCTTCTCGCGGGACGTAGTTCTGTTCACTCATTCGCGTTCCATACAATTCGCATCCGTGTTCTAAAAAGTGTTTCCTAATACATTCATCGCGTTATGAAAACACGTGGCGTTATAAGAACAGACGAAACTGTTCTGTATCGCCCCTAAAGAGAGTATATCCATCACACTCTCTTATAGCTGTGTGTGTTTGCACCAATGCAGTTCTTAAGTGTTTTTGTTTTGATGAACACCGTTTGTTTCTCGCGATTATGTTTTTTTCTTGCCACAATCGTGCAGCTGGATCACACTGTGTGGTTATGTAGGCGTCTTTAGAACACACTTGCTATTTAAAAAGTGCAGTGTTCTCCAGCCCGTGTGCATGAGCACCACCCCTTGGCACCCCATGCCCCTTTTTCCACTGGCATGGGCCCTCACAACCAAACCGTGATACGTTGGCTCACAAAACAAACTGAATGTAGTTCGGGGGCCAAGCAGGGCCAGGGTCATTGCGTGTGATGGTCAGTCGGTAGGCCGCACGCGTCTCGACTCGTTCACTGCGTGTGATGTCAGTGCTGTGGTTCAGCTGCTGCAGTGGAAAAACTAGAGCCACACCGGGTTGGCTCGGCATGGCCCCACACACAGACACACACAGCCTCTCATCTCCCTTGTGGATATTTGTTTATGCACAGCAAGTTCCTCCACTTATTGGAGAGACTTAAGCGGTCCCAGTTGTATGCATTCCCACGAATCCTGTAAGTAAACAAACAATTACCCCAAACTCACGGTGTTTGTCGTGGTACGGTTTTAGTAATTGTGCGCGTGCAGCCAGATGTCTCGGGAGAGAGGGAGTGCTTCAATCCAAACATTAATCATCATTCTTGCACAATCCACTGCTGGATGAAGGCTTCCCCAAGCCTCCGAGACCTCTCTCGATTCCGCGATGTAATTGTCCGCCCGGCAGCTGCACAGGAGCTGACTGCATCGCTCCGTCTCCTCGGTACGCTGCGTCCACTCTAGCGTGCTCCCAACCGTGGCTGCCACTCCATCACTATTCTTGACCATTGGCGGTCGTCCCTCACGGGGGGACCATGGTCTGCCCAAGCCACCCACGACAACCCTGATCCAAGCTCGACCCTGCTGAGCCTGCGAGGTTTGAGGCGATCGGACACATTCCGAGTGATTTGGTCACATGCATGACAGTTCCATGGGTTCCATGTTTAGTTTTATTTTATTGCTGTTATCCTGACATACGTTTCAGGTCTCTTAAACATCATTTTTGTTCTTACCTTTATTCCAAAGACTTTCTAAATTCAATAACGTTTCTAGGTTTCACTTTTTCTAATCCAATGAAACACGCGGTTCTTAAAAAAAACACACAAAGTAGGGAGTTGATGTTATACGATTTCCTAGAAGCAGACATTTCACAGTGGCCCAAGGTAGCCATTCTAACATGAACCAATACAGCACATACATCGTCCCTATTTACAAGATATCCATTCATATAAAAACAACAAGTCATCAAAATGCAAAGGAGCATTATTTTGATCTCTACTTAAACATTCTACTGTAGTATTTCCCAGATTTAATTTTCCCTGACCAATATAACCATTGTTAATATGCAACAATCCTCACTTTGTGCCAAATTGCACTATTTCTATCCCTTATACAACTTCATTACAATTTACATCAATGGCCTATTCACTTGCAATACTCACACCAGGCGTCGAAGGAGTTACACTTGTTATGACACTTCCCTCTCGTGATATGTATCTAAAAGTCCATTATTGCACTCGGACATCTTAAGCGTGAGATATTTTCATTTTTACAACAATAATACAGCATTGAATCCGGCCGCACTCTGCAGTCAAAGCCATCTCTGCGAAGCCACGTGTCCATCCATGGAGTCAACCCTTAGTGGAAGACTCCTGCCCAATTGCAGGCCGGTACTGCATGCACCCTGGGCCACGTAAGGACAGCTGCCACTTGGGGCTCCCCTCGGCTGGACTGCCACGAGGCATTCGAATGGTGGAGATGGGATGTGATGCCAAGGCGCATTTGAGCATTGCCCTATAACAGTAAACTCATGAACACACAAATCGTTATGCCATATTCTATTAAGCAATCAGCTCCTGCCCCCTACCCTTTTGGCCACGTTTTGCAAATGGGGAAAGTTGGCAATGGCAATGTTTGACGCAGTCTAACTCCGACGTATCTGGAGTCAACGCTGTGACTCCGTGTGCAGACTTGAGAAAAACACGTCGATGCATAACACACCGAAGAGAAAGAGAACATCGGAAACCGGCAAGCATATCTCGCAAAATCTCGCCCGTACGCCTCCACTTCCGCCGTATGGAGATAGCTAAACGTACAAGGGTAGAATCGCCAAGTTACCGAACAAGTAGATTCACAAGAGCCCAATTTACAAGAACACAGAATCAACTTGTCGACTTTTACTGACGCAAACATTAAAAAGGTCATTAAGCCTTTGAAGATGTCCATATGAACTAGGCAGTTCTGTACGTGTGGGATGCAAGCAAGTGTTTACGAGTTCATAAAAACGCAACTGTTAAAATGTCTCATTCCCTCACTGGAAAAGTATAATTTGTTAGACTTCGTTAAAACATCTTTGAAGGGAATATGGGGATTTCTCCACAATGGTGTGAGAAATATATATTTCATGTTAGTGTTTACTGAAAAAAAGTTCAGAACATTTTCTCATGTAATTATAAAGTACCATGTATCTAGAAGGACTTCGAGGAAATGCGCCTGCTTTTAATAACGCGATTTAAATTTCACAAAGATGCGCAATAAATCTGATCAGCGTGAATAGATACATTTGTGGAATTTTGTGCAGAAAACAGAGGCAGTCCGCCTCTCCACGTCACTCCGAATGCATATTTACAACTACAGCAAAAGGATCCGCATCAAGAAATCAAGCACGTGTCCACGATGAACGGACGACATCGATAACAAATTAGCGTGAACATTTTTTACACCGTTGCCAATTTTCAAAACCTCAAATTTCTGTACAACAGCCCTGGGCACTGCTGTGGCTACAGTGACAGCAAGGCAATACTGAAGCGATGATTCCCTCATAAGGGATAACGTTACATAGCAGTTGATACGTTTAAAAGGTCACATTACAATCAGTGGCTAGATCTGGCTCCATCAAAGTTGTGCGTTCAACATTTTTTTACATTTAAATATCCAGTGTGTGGAAACATATTTTCCTTGACAAAGCACAGCCTGATTTCATAAAATAATCCACAAGGCGTCAATACACTTATTACACGGACACAATGCATCCACCGGATTCCCACGCCTATAACATCTCAATAAAAAACACACACAAAAAACAATTAAACAAAAGTAATGTCTCGACTCGACCGATGGGCATTAGCAAAAAAGGCTATGTTCATATTCTTTGGGTCTTTATATCACGACGTTTCGATCGCAACACAAGCACTCGTCATCAGGTGAATCGTCATCAGGTGAAAAACCTGAAAAACCTGATGACGATTGCTTGTGTTGCGATCGAAACGTCGTGATATTTTTATTATTTTTTCTATCTACGTGGCTTTACCGAAAGACCCAAAGAATATGAATTCTTGCAGTCACGAAAGCTTTAAGTCAAGGCTATGTTCACTTAACAGACAGTTAGTTTAAAGGCTGCGGTTGTCATCGGGATGAGGTGGCCTGGTGCCTCGCGTTCCCTAGGGTGAATAATAATTGCCTTAAAATTACAATACAGTATTAAGGCCATCCGGGAGCAGTGGCGAGAGCGAGGAATTGCAGGGATGCACCTTTTGCTATTTTAGTATTAGAAGTGTACATTATATGTCCTAAGTCTTCCGGCCAGGAAGCTGATGGGAGCGGTCGTTGGGGATGGACATGGAGGTAGCTGTGTGTGTGTGAATATAAACACAGCCTCTGAACCCATGAACACGTCGCTGAAATCTTAATCATGTTACCTAAAGTGCCTGTGATGGTTTCGCTTGGACAGTCTAAATAAAAAAATAAAACATTATTTATCGTGAACGCCGAAGATATCGGCTGTCAAAACTTGACAGTTTCCCTCAACTGTTATTCAATCACCTTCATTCTATTTTTGTAAACGTGAAAATATGTTTCTGTATCTTTACCGATTACTACGAAGTGTGTATCTTCACCAGTGATTGCCACGCGGCATGCGGTGTCGTCTGAGGGGGCCGGGTATCAACAACGGTGCGATTGTTGCACGAGGAGGGGACCCTGGCAGAGAGGAGCCCTCTGTTGGATACATTAATGTAGGGGCCAGAGAGCCGAGCAGGGGCCTCTCAATATTTGGGTTATGCATTGTTACAGTAGAACTCCTCTTATTCGTGACCCTAATACCCACGACTCCTATTATCCTACAAGCCCTTCTATGACACACGATGCCAGGATCCCACACTGTATTCTCAAGGGCCCACCAGACAAAACACCTCATAGCCTTTCAAGAGAACTAGCACCAGTTATTGCCTTTTACCTGAACAGAAATTGCCATAGTATTGCTAACTTAATTATCATTTCATTTAAAAAACCTACGTTCCATTTTGAGGACATGCAGAGGTGATGTATAATACAGCACACAAGGGCTCGACTCAGCAGGTGCCTGAGTAAATTCGGCAAGCTGCGATTGTAGCAAGGTCAGAAATGACAGAGAAAATGTATTTACAAAATCTAAGGAAAATATAAGGAAATGCAGGTGTTCTTGAGAGTTAGCAATGATGTGGGTGTGGCAGCGGTTGCTAGCGATAGCATCATCACTCCCACTACACCAGCCAATCAGTTGCCAGGAAGCAACCCGATGCAACATAGACATCGCAACGTCACCCATGCAACGTGGTCGCCATGACATCAGCGCTCGGTGATTTATTGATTTCCTTTTTTTCACTATGACAATCAACCGTCGGGTAGTCTGAAACCACCTATAACTTTACGAAGCTAAATTGTGTAAATGTTTTATGGAAACGGGAGTTATGTCAAGTCTTATCTAGTGCAAATTATATAATTGCCTAAGTCGTTCTATACTCAGGCCTCACATCTTGACCTCGTGGTTTCTACTGTACTCCACTACAATTTACTCACCAGCACGCATCACTAACAATTACAAAAAATCCGCAGGTGGAACTCGTTGCAAATATGAACTGGAGGCACCAAACTCCCCTTGTCTCAAACTGCATGACGTTCATCAAAAAAATTGCACCGTGCATTTGTCTGCATCACATTCCACGAGTTGTGGAAGGATCCGGTCTTAAGTAGTCCGTGCCACGGCAGCTTCCGGCTGCAATTACTTCCTCGATTCTATTGACACAAACCACGTTTGAAAACACCCACCGTCGCCATCATTGGGCAAAGACCAGCGACAAGTCCTCTCTCCGTGGAGTCGTGACTTCTGTGTCTGCGAGGTGCTGGGAGTCGGGGGCTTAAAAAAACGCCGTGCCCCACACACGCCCCGACCCGGACAGACGCACGCCGATCACAGTTTGGAGTTGTTCTCCAGGAAGGTTTTGCAGGCCAGGAAAAGTGCATGGGACTCAACCGAGAGGCCCGCGATGTCCTTGGAAATGTACGGCAGCACAGCCGGTGTGGCTTGGTTGTAATAAGAAATCTGCAACACGGACGGAGAAATAAATACATCCATTTCAAAGCTCATTTCTATTTAATTTCAAAATTACATTCACCCCTGTTTTACCCAGGAAAGCCTCACTTTAGTCACGACTCTTTTTTTAGTAGGGTCCTGCCAACTTTTCTCAGTAAGGAGGCAATGATTGGCATGTGTAATCCAAATTTATTAAATGAATAACAATTACATATAGTTGATTGATATTATGATATTCATGAAATAATAAGAGAATCACTTCCGGAGAAATGCTAACATTTGGAACAAATCAGCGTGCAGTGGAGAAGGAAGTCCTGGAAAGAATAGACATGGACAAAGTCTCAAGGACACGGAGTCAGGTCAAGAATGGGAAGCTACAGGTTACATGGCGTGAATGGTAACCCTAACACTCGAAGGTGCTAGGGGAGGGAGAGGACCTTGATCTGAGGGGAGTACAAACAGTGGATGGGATCGAAGCTCAGGTGAAAAGCGACTGCAAGGAGATATCGTCGAAGTTTGTGTGCCAACAGCCCACAACGCCACGGGACTAGAACAGGAAGCCTGCGTGCGCGTGCTGGGTTTTTTTTAAATTTGCATTCTAATAATTGCCGAGCCCCTCGTGTCATTAACGTCAAACGGTCAGCAACAAACGGCACGCTCAAAGTGGCAAGCGTCAAGGGCGTGCGAGCGTACCCGAGTCTCGCTGCTGTTGAGCTGCTGCACGATGAAGCCGGCGCACAGCACCTCGCTCCGCGTGAAGTCCGGGGACGGCGGCGCCGCCGGGAGGGTGACGGAGCGGAAGGCGATCACGTACGGGTCTCTGCTGGAGAGCGCCGGACACGGTGAGCAACGGAGAAGGCTCCTCGGCGCACGGCACAAGAAGCCACGATCGCGTGCGGTCTCGTGAAATTCCCGCCCCCCCGCCCCCAGGAGGCAACGCCTCACAGGCCACGAGCAGCACTTGCACCACGCTGCAGTTTTTTTTTACATTCTGATCACAGCTGTGCGAATTGTGGCCAGGACGAGCCACAAATGGGCGCTTTTCAGTCCCACACGGCGACGCGAGAGGGGGGACTCAAGATGTTTTGAGTGTGCGATACTGCGTTGTTTATTCGCCATGTAACCATTAAATAATTGACGATAATTATAATCAAATCGACCTACGATAATAGCAAAAGTATAAAAATACATATGGAAGAATTAATTACCATTTAGACAGATGGTACGTAATTTTTATAAGTTCTCTTTACTTCAGCTAATGGAACAAAACAAAAGAAACAGAGAATACAAACAAGACCATACAAAAAGATGGAGGGAGTTTGGGCCAAAGACCTGCCATAAAGCAGAACAATCGAGAAGAAGAAGAAGATGTAGCCATGATGAATCGACTGTTGGATGAAGGCCTCCCAATGCCCAATCGGTCATGTTGGGCTCTATGAAACATTCTTCACCATGCTGGACAGTGCTGGCTGTGAGAGTTCAGATATCAGCCGCCACGGACGGTAGCCGTGGCTGGGAATTCCGAACCAAGGTCGTAGAACACCGCGATAACAAGTAAGCTAACCACTGTGCTAACCACCGCACTAACCACTGCACTGACCACTGTGCTAACCACCAAGCTAACCACCGAGCTAACTACTGTGCTAACAACTGCGCTGACCACTGTGCTAACCACCAAGCTAACCACTGAGCTAACCACTGTGCTCACCACTGTGCTCACCACTGCGCTAACCACCGCACTGACCACCGCGCTAACCACCGTGCTAACCACCGCACTAACCACCGTGCAAACCACTGTGCTAACCACCGCACTAACCACTGCACTGACCACTGTGCTAACCACCAAGCTAACCACCGAGCTAACTACTGTGCTAACAACTGCGCTGACCACTGTGCTAACCACCAAGCTAACCACTGTGCTCACCACTGTGCTCACCACTGTGCTCACCACTGCGCTAACCACCGCACTAACCACCGCACTATCCACCGCACTAACCACCGTGCTAACGACCGCACTAACCACCGCACTAACCACCGCACTAACCACCGTGCTAACCACCATGCTAACCACCGCGCTAACCACCGTGCTAACCACTATGCTAACCACCGTGCTAACCACTGTGTTAACCACCGTGCTAACCAGTGTGCTAACCACCGCGCTAACCACCGCACTGACCACTGTGCCAACCACTGTGCTAACCACCGCACTAACCACCGCACTAACCACTGTTATTAGAGATTTGTATTTCGCTGCATCGCAGACAACAACAACAACAACAATGCTGACGTTGCTAACCTGGACTGGCAGGGCCGACGGCGCGACATGAGCACCACGAAGTCCTGGGGCCTGAGGCCCTTGCGGATGGCCAGACTCTCCACGCTGTAGATGGCATCATCTTCATCCGCCGCCTGGATCAGACTGCATTTCCTGTACAACGGACGCAAACGATTGTTACTAATAGACGTGCGCGCATGTTTGTAACGCGAACAGTTTTATATTTAGATGTCGATTCTCTTTTATTCGATTCAGAATAAACATTTATTTCTCAAAGCGTCCATGCACGGGGAGCGGTGGCGCAGTGATTAGCGCACTGCGCTACGAACCCGGTGAGCCGAGTTCAATTCCCACTCACGGCCAACAACGAATATATCTGAATGGGTCCTGGGCCTCCTCTAGGTCGACTTAGCCTTAAGTGAGTGCCTGGCATTGCCAATGGGGAAAGACATTTGGTTGGGCGTGGTGCTCGCCAGACCACCCCCTCGTGCACCTTGCTGTCCTCGCGCTCACAGCACTTGCCCCAACAGTCTGCTAAGGCTGCACGGGGATTCTTTGTCTCTATGCATGCGTGGGGCTCACTGGTAGTGCTTGTCCCAGGCGGCGCGGTGCTGCAGATCAGAGAGCAGGAGGAAGGCCTGCTCAGCAGAGACGCAGGCACGCATCTCGATACGGAACGACAGCAGACCGCCCTCCTCGCAGCTGTACAGCTTGATCTGCACCGTCACGGCACAGCCGCAGCGTGGGAGCAGCCACACAAGCCGTCACTCGCCGCTCACCCACCGGACACCGATACTCGCTGCTCACCGGTGGCCAGGCACCACTCACTCACCAGACGCTCACTCACTAGATGCTCACTCGCCAGACGCTCAATCGCCAGACGCAACAATCCGTGTGGTTCAATAGAAGGGGTTGCACTCGGTGCGTGTGCTGTGGATTGAGCGGCCGTGACACGATATATTGGCCATGATTACTTTGTTTAGGACGAATCATCCGACAAGAGCACCTTACCCCATTCTGGACGGAAACGAGCTCCCATGCCCCTCGGCTGGCCAATAGCGTGAGAGCCAAGACGTTGTTGAAGCTCAAGTAGACCTATGTGTGAACGCATACATACATACACGCACACGCGCGCACACACAGAAACTTATATCACACTCAGTACAACCAGAACACATCAAGGAAACCGTTTTTTTTGCATAAAGTCACAAAACCCACAACTGCCAACTCGGACAAAGTTTTATCTATCGGACAAAAAAAGGATTGGAACCGGCCACTTTCAGAAGGTTAGAGCCACTCCCTGAGCTTCCTCGCCATTCAACATCGAGTTCGCTGGAACTGCATAAGGAGCGGATGAAGACGTGCCCACCACTGTTGCCCCCGCGCGCACAGGAGGGGTGACGTGGCCGTTATGCCCCATTAGTTGTGCCTGCCCGTGGTATGCACTCAAGATCAAGTCCGTCTGTTTAAATCGAATCAAGAACATTCTGAAAAGAACATGAGGAGCAGAGATAAAGATCGTCTGTTAAACCGCACAGCCTATGTGGGGCAAGTGTCGTTACAGCTTGGACAGCACAATCTGTCCGGCGATACGTCTCCCCATTGCTTGTTTGACACAATGTACCTGGCATTTGTTGTAGGGCATGCTGACCTCGGAAAGAGCCTGAAGGAAGTTAAATAATAAACCACACCCTGTGTTTGCAGAGGAACGGTACCGTGGTGAAATAGCGGGGCTGCACCCTGTCCTGGGAATCCCAGCCATTGCTAACTTCACCAACTTACACTGACCAGCGTGGTGAAGCGTGTTCAAACAATCCCCCCCCCTCCCATCCCCTTGGGTCAAATAACCACCCTTTAATTGGAACGGCATGAGGAGGCCTTCATCCAGCAGTGGCTTTACAAAGGACGGGAAATTATTTACATTACACATTTTGTAATGAGGACACTGCGGTGGCGAGATGTTATTTCCTTAACCTGGTATACGGGTCATGGGTTCAATTCCGACCCTGACGCATGTATATTTGAAGTTTGCATGTTCTCTCCGTGGCCGCATGGATTTTTAGAACATTTGGCTGCTATAAATTTCCACGTGATAAGCCACTTCGTTGAGTTACCATTTGTGGCCAAGCCGCTTCTGAAAACGAGTTCTACAGCTGAGTGGGCCTTACCTGGTAAACTTACACATAATACGCTATGCAGAAAGAACATTTCCCGAATAGTCGCCTAATATATATGTTTTCTTTTAATGCCACAGTGTTACTGACGAAGTGTTGAGTTATTTTTCTGAATACTGGGAAGTAAGCCACTGTCTACGGTGGAAAAACAGAGTCTGCATGGATCAATTGAAAACCCGGCCGAGTGCATCGAGAGGAGCTGGAAACGACGCAGTAATGAAGTGGTAGGGGGTAGTAGGGAGTTGGTATGGATGAGCGGAGATTTGATGAAGGCAGGAAGGGAGAGTGGACGGTATGGGGTGTGTACCTGGTTACTGGGGTCCCAGGGAACAGACAGCGGCACTTCATTCTGCTTGCACGACAAGATGTACTTCCTACGAATGGCACATTCAAATGGGACAGATTACAACTCATTGAGACGTCTCTAGTATTTACTCAAGGCATAACCCATTGAGAATCGGCATCTCTTTTGTATCGATGGTCCACTTTATGAGCGTACAATTACGCGATGGGTGTCGCAACCTTTCCTCGTTTACACCAGGGGGTGAGAGAGCAGAATGCACGAGGGAGAAAGGCGGATCGTATCGCTACGCATTCTGTTCAGCGTTCAGCGTCCGTTTACAACTTAACACTTGCTGCGTCGTACTGCCCTCCACATGCCACGAGGTGGAATAACTGCTCCCCCGGCTCAATTACAGGACAGAGTCACGTACGATCCACCCTTGTGACAGAATATACGTGGGTGATGTGCCATCAGCAAGGTATTTTTAACCGCACGAAGTGCTCCATATTTGGGAGCCGTGCCAAAAGGCACTTTTGCCAAGTGGCCTAAAACTCATTGGCACTGCACAGGAATCCACAGCGCAGCATGGAGACACTGCAAATCAAGTTCCTTCGCATCTCAGTCAACGAAATGTATATCAGAAAATCTTCAGATATCGATATATAAGGCTAAGATGTTGTCATGGTAATTGTTTGTAAAATTCATGGTAATTGTTTGTAAAATTCATGGCCGAGTTTCGGGGTGGGTGGGGGGATAATCCACGGAGCGGTCACTGAATAACGTACGGTGGTGCCACATCTAAATATTCACTGATTTTTTTTTGGGACTGTCAGCAATTTTAAGTAATGCTCTAATGAAATAAAATATTAACTTTTATATGGACAGAAGTCTATTTTATTATGCATAATGCTAAAATGTATATTATTATTATGAGAGATAGCTCATATTAACTTGAATGCTTTACAACAGCATTATTGTTTTACTCTACGCTAGATAATCCTCTGGAAGATGATATCACAGAACTGCAACCGAGATCGCTTAAAATGCCGATTATAATTATCCCCACTCCATCATGTCACGAGCTAAAGAAATGGCTGTTGCATGTCAGTGATATGCAGCAAAAGCTCTGCTTTTTTACAATAAACTTAGAATGTTCTACAATTGACCAGTGAGTACCTCTGTAATAGAGTATACAGTGAAACCTTGGATTGCAAGCATAATTCGTTCCGGAAACGTGTTTGTAATCCAAAGCACTCGTATATCAGTTGTGATCACGTGATGCTTGGCAGACAAAGCGTGTACACGTACACTGCTCGTATTGCAAGACCCTCGCTCGTTTATCAAATTATTATTTATTTAAAAAATTTGCTCGTCTTGCAAAACACTCGCAGACCAAGTTACTCGCAATCCAAGGTTTTACTGTATTTAGTTTTTTTCTTTAAAAGTTTCATGTTCTTGGATAACTCGGTGAACCATAAGTGTAACTCTCAGATGAACCGGCATGTTTTATTAACCGGCACCGTCCATTCCCCATGGATGCCGGGTAACAGAGCTTTTGCCACACGTTAATCTTTATATAAAAGTAAAAAATTGTCTGTTTGTGGGTTTGTTTGTAGGTTTGTGTCTGTTCGCGCGCTTGCGGACGATTTGCCTCTGCAACGGTAGGGTTTACATAAAAAAAAAACTAGCCAGGTACCAAGCCGTAAGCCCCGTGGTGAGCAAGCGCTATTCCTTTTTCACATCCGTCAACTTTAAATTAGTTTAATTAGCGATTTAGTGCGATTTGTGTGCGCTTATCATTTATTTATTACGCGTGCCCGACTGTACCAACTCACGAGCCTTTGGTAGGGGGGACGGCCCATGCCAAGTCGCACGCCTTCAGTGGGACTGAGGGGGACATTTTCTTTCGTGTAAAAAATGCTATAAAAATACACTAAGCGCTGAGCTTAAATCTTCACTGTGTGATGTACCCCCCCCAACTCGATGCATGCAGTTACTACTACTATACAGTCGCTAGACGCTACCACTATAGGCCGTAGATATTACTGCAGAGCGGCCGGGGAGATCGTGGCTGGTGGGGGGGGGGGGTCAGGGGTAGCAGCCCAGCCCCAGCCTGCCAAGGTGCCACCTCGGCCGGCTGGACAATCTAGGCGAGGCCGGAGGCTCTGCACAGGACTAGGCCTCACCACGCCACTCTGTCAGGTGAGTACTTTGTGCTATAGAGTCGATAAATACTGCTATAGAGTCAGCATGTACTACTGTAGTGATAGGTACCATCACAGTCGGTATGCATCTCTGTAATCATAGCAGGTACCACCACAGTATGCACTGCTGTAATCATAGCAGGTACCACCACAGTCAGTACGCACTGCTGATAGATTTTTAAGAGTAGTTTTGTAATATTTTTAAGACCCGGGCAACGCCGGGTACTTCACGCTAGTTGTCTATAAAAGGCCAAATTAAGAGAAAAAAACGATTGTAAATATAGGGGGCGCACTCCCATAGTCGCATTGACACAAGCTGACATTGTTCATGCCGAGAGCTGGAATTTAGCCAAGTTGTGCAAAACCAAATGTAGTTCTTTCTTTATTTCAATAATAAAATGACACGGCAATAAATACGTTATGACTAAACAACAGTGTACATTGCAGATTTTTAAAGTGCATGTGTTCAAAGCGATATCCTTCAATACATATGTTTACAGTGTCCTAATGGTGGTACCCCGGGGTACCAAATCATACAAAATGGCCGAGGTAATTAAATATTTTATTTCTGGGACACTTTTTTTTCCAGGGGTTTACTGAAATCAGCAACTGGGGTACCAATCAATCAATCAATCTGAAATCGATTATGCTACTCCGCAATGTCGAAATGCCAGCGAGGACGATTGCGCTGAAACCCTGAACGCTCGTACGCACCCTAGTGGTGCATCGTGTATAGCTCGTCGAGATGAGTGGATTGCCGCATCGCCGACCATCAACAGACTAAAAATGACTGCGTCACGGACATTATGCGAAAGCCGCGGTGCTATGGTACCCTGGGGTATCGCCATAAGTCAAAATTTTACCGCCCTAAGGTTCACTGAACACATCCCAATCCCAGTTAGTCTGACTGCTGATGAGACAATGGATGTCGAAACCTGTCCACAGTTAGCTTGTGTTGAACCAAGGCTATTGAAATGATGCACTGCCAGAAGGCCACGTGGCTGGATGGGATGTGGAAAAAAAGTACTTTTATATCCACGTATTTTTTTTTACGGATATTTATTTGGTGAGCAGTTATCCTGCTCGTGTAAGTTATCCAGTTCGGGTTGGGTGGTTTGGGATGCTTAAATAAATTGGGGAGGTTTAGAATAAAATGTGATTTGTTGATAATCTTCATTCAAATTTTGTTGCCAAGGTGTTCTGGTATAGCAAGGTGGCAAAGGGGATTGACCCGGAGGGGTTATTGAGGAGGGGGTCGTGGAGATTCCAATGGTGTAACAAAAATATTCAGGGCAGTGGTGTAAAATGTAGTTTTAATTTATGCCAGGATAGTCCCTGTGGTCTGAGGCCTGGCAAGCTTGCTTGGAAGGTGATAGTGTGGCAGGGTTAATTATATTTAAGAGCGTAATTATTTGGGAGTCCAATTTTCGGATGTCTGGGCATGTCCAGAAGGTGGGTGCAATATGTTCGTATCATATCGGGCATCCTGCACAAAACGGGGATGTATTAGGGTCATATTTCACCCTTTTTTGCCGTAAGGTAGGAGAATTGTTATAAAGGCCAAGTGGTGCTGCACTAATGCCACAATACATGTGTCCAAATTCCATCCCATTGCGTGTTCAAAAAGAGGGTTGCAGTTGCAGTATTCTACAGGTCTCATGCGTTTGTTCCATACAATATTTTAGTCTCCCGTAATTATATTGGTGGGGCCTGGGTTAAAGACCCGATTTAATAGTGCTGAGGTACGGTCAGTGAGGTTTCTTTCATTGCTGTTTACTGCGTTTCCAATTTATACATATTTGCAAAAGTGGTGCTTAAGGTACGTATTTCCAACACATAAGATGAACATTATATTACGTAAATATATTTTTCATTGAGTGATGAAGGTATCTAATGATCATCGTAACAGGACGAATTCACAACAAACGTAAACAATCCTACTCTTGATATTCTGCCTCCACGTGTGGTAACACTTCAACGTACACAGTGTGCGCCTGTCTGGCCAGATATGGGGTGAGGGGACAAGGTGAGGTGGTGAAATCGGAGTGGGGGGAGGGGGCAGTGAATGAGGAGGGTGGAGGCCCCCACAAGAGAGGAGGGCTTCATGTCCATGTGGGGTATGTACGTTGAACTGCTTTCGCACCGTACGTAGCCAACCGAAGTAATCGGAGGTGCGGGGGAGGGACAACAAACTAAAGATAAAAAAGTTCTAAAGATTGAAAAGTGCATAGCTCTAGTGGCTTTCTAATAAAATGTGTGGTGTAGGTGTGGCGTTTACCGTGGGTTCAAAATGTACCATTATAATTCATAATAAAAATGTATAATTATAGGTGTTGAGTGTTGTTGAAAATTAGTTGAAGTTGCCAGACAACCTCTGATACAGGAGCAAAGCGATTGATGGGATTGGAATCGGGGATCTGGTAATTGTTAGGGGCGGCGGTTCGCATTGGGTTGCTGGTGGAGTATCTTTGGGGATGGGTCTATAGAGGTTGGGTCATGGTGGTGGGGGGGGGGGGTTAAAGTGCGGGGTTCGGTGATGGTATATTTGGTGAGGAGCGTTTGGTTGGTGGTGTCTGGGGTTGAGAGTCGTGGTGTGTGAGGTTCGGAGGGGGAGCACGGCTCGCAGCGTCCCATCCCGTGCGGACGTCCTCCCGTCGAGTCGACACGGGAATGGAGTTCTGCGCGAGCCCTCTCCCCGGCTGGGATATGCAGCCGTGGTTTAGCTTGCTCCGTTTGATGCCCTCTCTCTCTCTCCTTCCTCTCTCGAGCCGGACAGGTTCGGTGCCGGAAGTACCCTTTGTCTCGCAGCGATTTCGTTCCCAACAAAAGCTCTCTCGTGTCCGGGTGTCCGAGACGTGGACGTGGAGAGGAGGATGGCATCGGCATCGAGGGGTTCACAGCTGTAGGGGGCCCAAGGGATGCGTGGCGGAGCCCTCTACGAGCCGGGCCACGAGCCCAGGAAGCGAGTGCCGTGACAACGACGACGACGAGGATTGTGAGGCTGACGCTGCCCTCTGAGCGGCAAAGGAGGGGAGCCGAGCGCCAGAGCCAGCGGCAACGAGGAGGTAGGGCCCGACATACCGCGGCCACCCCGCGCCCACAACGGCACGCGGCGATGGGAGGGCAGGTCGCGGTGAGCCGCACAACGCAAAGCGGTGGTGCACGGTGCCACATAGAGGCAAGCCGAGGGGGAGGTGGGGGGGCTAAAGCAGCCGGTGCCGCATGACGCATGGCACACGGAGGTGACGATGGCGAGGTGTGCGGGCGGCGAGCCAGCAGCCTGCTGGATGCACGGGTCGTGGCGGGGGGCACGGGGGGGGGGGAGGCATCAGGGAGGAGGAGGAGGACGCTGGGCGCGTGGCGACGCGCGGGAGGAGGAAGTCGCGCAGCCGGTGTAGCGACCAAGGGGGATGCGCGCCTGGCAGAGGTGGCAGATCGCAAGACGTTTAGAAAGCTGCAGTGCTCTATAATCAACGTTTCTCTCAGAGAAACGCAAGTGGCGCCGTCTGGTGGCGAGCTCCTGCGGTGCTTATTGGTCGCGTGCGTTTATTTCTCCGTTTGCTTAGTTTCCTCTCTTTCCCAGCTTCCCTCTCTTCGTGGTATCCCCAGATGACCTCGATGACCTTCGAGGATATTTCTCTTCTCCTTATTATCCATCGCTTCCTCAGGGGAGGAGAATTCCAGACACCCATCTCCTACCGGTAATCCCAGCTTCCTTGAAGCTGGGATTTGATTCCATCTGTCCTGGCGAGGTCCCAGTGTCCGGGGAGAGAGACGTGCGTGGACACGAAGGCCCTTCCCTCGACCTTGCCTTGCTTTGTTCAAGCGAGTTGAACAATAGATGTACGCAAGGATTTTGAAAGCATTCATCCGATCTGCAAGGAGCCAGGCGACCTTTCCGCTGGGAAGAGTCGGATAATGGATTGGGTGCTCGTTGTTCCCCGGATGTCCTGGAAGGAAGATGGATGGGAGGTGTTTGCTGCTGAAGACTGCGTTTATTCAAGGAGGAAGAATTCCTGCTGATCTGAACGCGAGATGATCGAGTCGATTTTATTATTTAGAGGGGTTTTTTTGGCGTAAGTCCGTTTGTCCCTGGCGGCTGTTCTCGTGTTTCTTCTTCAGGGAGAGAGACTGGGGGACGACACTTGTGTGGGGGTGAAGCTTGAGAATTCAACCCGGCCAATTTTCCGAGGGCTCCGTCCGCCATCGCTAAATGCGCCCGTGCGTAGTTTGTTATCAGGCGGTGGGACTATTTTATAAATGAAACAAATAAAGTAATGAAACAAATATTTTTACGTAAAAAATAGGATCAATAATTTCTACAGGTATAAAAGGTATCTTGATAGTTATCCTTGAGGTTATTATCTGGCACAGAGGACTCGGTAAAAGAAATTAGATGTAAGAAGAGTAAAGCGTCAGGGCAGGACAATCGTGGCACAACACCACCGAAAAAGTTCATAAAACCAAACTCAACATCACAATTTGTTTTACAGTCAAGACCATCAAACTCTCTACTTGGGGGAGAACGTGTTTTTGTTTTTTTTCACGACCGGCTGCCCTGGATTCGAAACCAGGACCTCAGCAGTGCCTCTTCTGTGCTCTGACGCAGAATCAGGCCTCTCAGCCGCCTAACCACCTCCTCCACAGCGGACTTGTGCACGTGGATGTCGAAAGAGTTGATGATGTAGTTCATGTCAATCGACTGGCCGGAGAGCTCGTACCTGTCAAGACGAATCTTCTTGCGGGCGATGGCCTCTCTGTAGCGCCGCTCACCGTCCTGCGAGGTGGGACCACATAAATTCAGCAGAGAGTAGAAAACGTTACCTTCCTGTTTGTACGTGCGCATGCGCAGCCCTTGTTCAATGCACTGCTGGACGAGGGCCTCCATGACGGCCCTCACCAGGTGAGTCGTGCAGCGTCGCGACGTCACTCGCATCGTTTTACTTCTTGGCCACGTTTGTGTTAAAAACACCTCAACTATGCTAACATATTCTTAGTTTTTTCGGTAAAGTCACGTTGAAGAGAAACAACAAAATAACAAAATATATATAAAACAATAAAAAATTCTCACGACGTTTCGACCATAACTCGAAACGTCGTGAGAATTTTTTATTGTTTTATATATATTTTGTTATTTTGTTGTTTCTCTTCAACGTGACTTTACCGAAAAAACTAAGAATATGAATTACTGCAGTCACGAAAGCTTTAAATCAAAATTTTTATGCTAACATAGTCTAGGCCTTTGCTTAACTTTGTTCAAAACATTTTTTTATTTTGTAACAAACTTCACTGCTCACATGGACCGTGGGGACACTGACCCAGGCCCTGGACTGACCCAGGCCCTGGGCCATTCCTGGGCCGGCAGAGCCCAGTTCCAAGTGGCTGATTCAGTATGTATGTTGCACTTCTCTCGCACCGTATGGAAAACACGAATTTTTTTTTATAAAAACGAGGTGCAAGAGCGATCGTACCCCGGCGTAGGGCTTGATGCGTGGGAGCGTGCGCGGATCGCCGTTGTCGTCCAGCACGACGAACGTCATGAACGCGCTGTTGATGTGGCGCAGGGACGCGGGGCTGCAGTCTCCCTGGCGGTACGCCTCCACACAGACCCCCACCTCCATGCTGCAACAACACAGTACACCGCGTTGCATCCCACACTGCCTAGACACCACAACGGTAACAGACCGCAACACCACACCGGGCCACACCCCGCACAAGATCATTCTTGGTTAAATAGGGATGAAAATGCGACTTCGCAAATAACGTTGTTATTCATCACCATCGTTCCATGGTCAATCCGCCGCTGGATGAAGGGACACCCAAGCCGCCGACGTCACCTCTCCCGATCCTGCGACGCATTAATCCACCCGGCACCCGGGCACGAGCCGAGTTCGCCGCTCCATCTCCCCGGTGGACGCGTTTCATCGGCGTCAGCGTACGATTCGCGCGCGCGCGCGCCACGCGCTTACCTCTTGCGGAAGGCGTTGTTGACGATGGACTTGAGGGTGAGGCGATCGCCGACCTGCGACGGCCCACGGAACTGGAACATGTCGATGTCCCGGAGGGTGGCGTGGGCACGGCACAGGCGACTGCACAAGCGGGGCGAGCAGAATGTCATCCTCGTGCCGGCGGCCGCCGCTCGGCAGGCAAACGACGCGTCGCTGCGTCCGTTACCCCCCAACCGTGCCACTGGCGACGTGAAGTCGAGTTGTTAAGGAGCATAAATCATCACGTGACCTCCGGTCATCCTTACGGCAGCGGATATTGGCTGACCATCAAACAATGAATGTCACAGCATCGCGTGTTTTTGGATGCGCTTCTGCGGCCAACTGGAAAGCTCTTCCTTCCGATATTAGGGAGCCACTGGAGCTATGCGCATTTAAATCATCCAGATTGAAAACTCTTTTCTTTAGAACTGCTTTTTGTTTTGTAGTTTGTTGTCCTTCCAAGAACCTCCAATTAGCACGGTTGGCTATGTACGGTGAAAAAGAAGTTGAACATACGTACATACATGTTACTACTACACTTGTTAACTAAGAGAAGCCTCAAAGAGTCTTAATAATTGTTTTCAAGAGGGTCCTGCTACTGCTGCTGCCGTGTGATCCCAATTGAGTATTTTCTTAGAATTTGGATGTTTTGGCTAATATCGGATGTTCCATAATACAGGTTTTTTTTTGGGTTAGATCACGTAAACATTGTAAATGTTGCTCTCCAACACACCGGTGTGCTGTACTAGTAACAAATTGGCATGTTCTGTTCAAATGACAAACCTTACTAATTGGCTGTGTCGGGTGGTGGCGGGTTTAACGACACATTTATTACATTTACACGATCCAACCCAAAACACCGCTATTCTGGACGATATTGGTGGCGGAGGCCTCCTACGTGTTAAACTTTTTTTTTCTTCTTCCAACTATGGGAGGAAACCGTCGGACCCGCCGCAGTACGCAGGGGAGAACATGCCCAGTCATCACACAGAGGCACACGATCCGAGAATCAAAGTCAGGCCCGAAATCACCTTGGTCTGTGTCTTCATTCAACTTAATTTCAACTCGTCAGTCAGCCGTGATTTGGTCTATGGTCGGCAGGAGTCCTAATCATCGTCACGCGCCTGATGACTCTAAACCATTCCCAGTCATCGCTGACTAAAGCGTGATCAATGTTAAACGGCCGTGATAAGCTCAATTTTCCACGATGACGTTATTGTGCCATCCTTGTTGACTGGGCCGAGAGTGTCAGCTCGCCGCACTGCAGAACCCAGCTTAACCATGGCCAGATGGGACCACCACTTTCTGTTTACTTTTCTAATTTGTAAATACAAGAGGACACACGACTCCCTGTTTATTGTTTTGTTCTGTTCTCTTTTAATACATTTATTTCGACACGCACACAAACAACATCAACACATACTAATGAAACACATATTATTCAGATTTCCAAATAGCTGATGTGCAAGCATCTCGAGGTTGTCTGCAATTAAAACAAGGGAGCCCTCACCGGCCTTGCGTCTCTCTTTGTTTGCATGCATAACAATAATTTTATTTTCAAATTGACCACAAGGTTCATGGTGCGTATTACTTTGTGCATCCGACCTCAAGGGGGCAGCCTCACCTGGCGGAAATGGTGGCGACGGCCTCCATCCACGCCATGATTTGCCCGCCGAAGGTGTTGCCCTGGTGGTTGGCGTGAGGGGGCAGCACCAGCTCCACGCTGTGCACCCGCGTACGTTCCGCGGGCACCAGCTCCTTCCCGTAGTCGACGTTCGGCCCCAGCGTCACTTCACACACGGCGGAAAAGGCGGGTATACCACCGTCATCGTCATCATCGTCGCGAGCCAGGGCATGGTGGTGCTTTAGTCACCCAGCGCCCTGGAAGCAAGGGGTGGAGGATCGCTGAGAGCATCGCGTAGAGGACTGCCCTACGCAACGGGCTGCAGTGTGGCAACTTCGCAGCAGAGGGCGGTGGGGCCCACATCATCAACAACATCACCGTCATCTTGACTCGAGTGCCGTGGTGCGTGTTCTGCCGTCCAATTCCCCGACAAACTCCCGAGTACGCCCCAGCCACGCGGGAGAGGCCCGAGCCTGTCTGAGCGGCGGACAGCAACGAGCGCGGGGGGAGGGGCCTCACTCACCGTCCTGAAAGGAGCAGCCGTGCACCAGCTCGAGAATGGTGTCGGCGTGGGCCAGCCGCATGCGGCGCCGCTCCGCCGCCAGCGTGTGCTGCAGCCTCTCCTCGCTCGTGCGCGGTATCAGCGCCTGCAGCTGCACCTGCCCGCGCACAAAGCGCGCCCCGCGTCGAGTGCGTTAGCGTGTGCGTCACCGTCACCGTCGCCGCGACAATGTAAAACAGGGTTGGTTCTGTAATCCGCAAAGCATGTCCGGGGCGGTGCGTCAAGAGGATTTACCTTCTCGCCACTCAGCGATCGAGCCACGAACGTCGAGTGGGCCATGCACACCAGCTTCTGGTTGCCGGTTGACAGATCCTCAACGCGAACATCAATCCCCACCTGCAAACAACAACACCAGTCAGTACATTAGTCGCAACGCGTGAGATGAACGTGAGATGAACAGAACATTTCATAAACATAATTACAAAAAAACTGTAAAAATGACCATTCTCCAAGTATTCCGCTTGAGGTTTTCAGACAATGCTGTATTCCAGGAACTAAGATGGTCTGATTGGCTCTGCGAGGATGCTGAAGATCACGTGCTATAGTACGCCACTATAACACGTCGTGAGAGTGTGTCGTGGTAACGCTGCTGCGTAGGTTTTCCCGGTTGTGCTGCACAGCTCTCCGATATGTTCTCGGGTTGCGCCGTGTGTTGTTCAGCGCATTGTCCGACGTTTCGCTCCATGCGCTGAGAGCTCTCGTGCCGAATAGCACGCGGAAAACACATCGGAGAGCTAATACGCCATCGCGTAGTCTATTATGCAAAAGATTCAAACATAACTGTACATATATAACGGGTTACATGTGTCTCCACTGCTCACGCGGTAATGTTTAACTGGCTTTTGCTTTGTTCACATCTTTAAATGTTTTTTAGAAGAGCCCGATTGCTCAATTTCCTGACGTGAGCATTATTATTATTTTGACTTCTCTCTGCCGCTTTGCCCACGTTTCACACCGAGCGGTAAGGGGCCAGCGTGCGTCTCACTCGACCCACCTCCATGCTGGTGTTAAACGCCCGGTTCACCTGGGCCTTGATGTACACCGCCTGGCCAACTCTGCAATGACAAAACACCATGTCCTCCTTGCCAAACTGGTTTCAAGTTGACACATAGTACAGTGATAATTATAATTATTTACCCATCACAGGTTTTTTTTCCATCTACTGGAATCTTGCAAAGGTCACTTGAGCTACAGCTCCTCTAGGATAGCGGGGGGGGGGGGGGCAGTCGAGAGGTTGTTTGGGGGGAGCCGCCGTGGCAGTAATTCAGCCCTGGGCCGCCAGTGCCCTTTTGGTGGCTTCAGTGCCACCCCAGCACCGCCCCTAGCGCCGGCCCTGGGTTCAATCACGGTTGGCCTCGCGAAGCGGAAGCCGACCCGGTGCCATGTTACTTTGTAAACGATACAATTGCACAACCGTGGAACACATTATACAGTATGGTTATAATACATTATATATAATATACATTATATATAATGTTGTATAATATAATCAGTGGCGATATGCTCCCGATTCTTTGATGAATTAGACAAATCAGAAAGTCAGGCTTAAAAATGAAATTCTGACAATCTTAAGAAATATTTTGTTTCAGATTAATCTGAAAACACGAAGTGATGTCACTACTATTTCGTTCCATCTGTGCTTTTCCCACCAAAAACGGCGTCACGTGGCATCGGGGGACATAACTTTTGTGCACGTCTAGATAACTACATTACCATGAGGGAAATTATCATTATTTTATTTATTTCCGCACTATTTATACTTGTCCCAAGACTCATTTTCTGGAGTGTCCTGGACATGTCTGCAGTAGGTGGCAATGTCAATGTGCATGATCCCAAGTTGAGTAATTGGCAGGCACATTCTCAGCATTGGGATGTTTGGGCCATTGCCAGTTTCAGTAAAATACAAGTCTCTTGGATATCTGAAAAATATCCAAAATTGTCCAAAAATGTACAAAAAATCCGAAAATTTTCCAAAATGAATCTTTTATTGCGAACCGCATGCCTAATATTCAATTAGTCAATTAGATACAAAAATCAAAGGCATTTCAACAGAAAAAAAAGTAAAAATTTACAAATTTTTCTCATGTAATTTAAAATCCATTGCAAATCCACACTCACAATGAGGCATTCCCGTGTTATGTCAGTCGTGAGGGTTCTTTGTAACCATACATCACCACACAGGTTAGTGTTGGTTAATGAGGGATGAGGGGGGGTAAGATGAGTTTGGATCGCACTCGCCACTGCCGTGAGCGGGAATGAAACTAACCCGTGCTTCACTGCTCCCCCTGCCTGGTTAGTATTCCTACAAGGTGCAAAACCGTGAATTAATGAAGATACGCGATTCGTAACTTTTGTGAACACGCAGCGGCAACGTGCGGTGGCGATGCCGCGACCGACTCTCGTGCGTCATCCGCTCGTGCGCGCATGCTCTCCCTCCCAAGCGTAAACACAACACAAATACCGCCAAAGAACGCCAAAGAACGCCACGACACAGTCCTGACATTCCGTGGAGGTTTGTTCTAGGCGAACACGTGTTCGTCTAAACACATGTAAGGCGTGTAGTATAGAGGACACCTACTTTATGGCTTCCTCTACTTGAAAGTCATCCATGGAGGCCGTTACGCACAGCAGGCCCGCATGCCTCTCCGCTGCAGAACCGCAAAGGCACAGACAGGCGCACGGATAAGTGAACGTGCGACAGAGGGGAGGGGGCTTCCTCCGCAGACGTGATCAGCTGCCGCCCGTGTCCAACTTCACTGTGGCAACACCGTGTGACTCGGCAAGTAAAGAGGCATATCGTGCACAGGACACACTGGGATTGTTCGGCTGTCCAGTGGTGGCTTTGATTATTTACATTACGGCCCGCTGAGCACAGGCCGGAAGCAAACAGCACCAGGGGAGGTGCAGAGTCAACTCTGTTCTTGAATTGAGCAGGATTATTACAGCTTTAGGAAAAGAGACGATGGAAGAGAATTTCCAAGTGGAACAGCGCGAGGGCGGAAGCAAACAGAGAGGTGTTGTGACTTGCAGTGTGGCGAGTGTTGTCGTGACCGACAGCATGGTGAGTGGGCGGGCGAGTGGACGAGTGAGTGTGGGAGTGAGTGTTATTGTGACCTGCAGTGCGGCGGGTGAACACCTTGTGGATGAGACGAAACAGTGTCTGGTAGACCGAGTCCTCGACACGCGTGGAGGAATTGATGAGTGAAGTTCACGGAGGAGTCATGGCAGGATGGTGGTCGCGATGAGACAGTCCAGCGACGAGAAAAGTGAAATTGCTCACCAGATAAACAGGCAGTGACGTCCATCCACTTGAGCATCTGACCCGTGCTCAGTTCCCCGAGGTGGTTGGCGTGACACGGCATGACCAGCTGGGTCATTTCCACCTCCGTGGGGTTCTTGCAGTCCTCCGCTTCGCCCAGAACCTCCGTCTCCCCGTCCCGCGTGCCAGGCGTAACCCCCACGGCGTCCGCTCCGTTCTCCATGGGAGTCGGTGCTCCGGGGTGGGACGACATTCTGATGAAAATGACCGCCATGAGAAAATAATTGCGAGCAACGATTACTTCGTAAACGCGCCCTTCGCGTTAATAATAATAATATAATAATGCTTCGTGGAGCCACCGCCTAAGGGGAATTGGGCAAAGGTTGCTCAAGAGGCGGGGCAAAAGTTCCCCTTCTTACATAATCAGAGAGCTGTTCTTGTCGCAACTATTTGGCATCGCTTGCCGGCACTGTTTTTGAGCTCTCTGAAAATCCACTGCTGGATGAATGCCTCCCTAGCTGTGTTAGCCCTGGGGGTTGCTTGGATTTACTGCATATGCTTTAACCCACAGTTTACCGATGTCTACTTCAAAACAATGACTTTGACATTACATCAGTATAATACAGCACGTTGATATAAATTTTAATCGGTGTTATTATCGTTAAGACTTACAAATGACCGCCGGCTGCTAACCACCAGCGACGATCTGCACAGTGAGTGTGTCTTTCTTTACCTAAGGAGTGAGCTGAAATTTTACTCTCAACTGGTTTGTCAAGCTTACGCGGTCAGGCCTAGCAAACCACACCTTTAAAAGCAACCTTGTGGTTGTACATACTGTTCCCATCTTTAATAATCACCATATCCATCGGAGGTATTGAACAACACTCGAATAACATGAACCCATCGTACTCCCCATAGCAGTGCAGATAAGGGGAGTTATGTGGGCATAGCGGCAGCCCTGCAACTGCTGCTCGTGCCGCTGCTGGTGGCAGGACCTCCACTCGTGGGTATTTTTTCCTGCTCTTCCACACTGTCCAGGACGTCTTGGAAGAGGTGGGAGTTTGCCACGAGGGGTATCAGAAATGTGATTCTCAGCCGTTTCACACTGAAACGGCCTGCACCGATAGGTGTGCACGCACACAAAGCACTATACTCAATCCACTGCCGGACGAGAACACTCCCACAGTGTACGGGTCCGAGCGGCTCTATGATCCTACTTCACCACACTGGGCGATGCGCGTTGGTGAGAAGGCGGGGAAGCGAAGACGTAGAAATATGGTACAGTACTGCTCTGCCATGTGCCAGCAACATAGCCCAGCATAAGCAGCAGCAGTAGGCGACACCTATTTTATGCATTGGTTGGCGCTCATCCAAGCACTATTCGGGCTCAGCCCTGCTCACACGACCGCGCACGATTTTGCGGTTGTCCTGCACGGCTCTCCCGATGTGTTTCGGGTTGCACCGCGTGTTTATCGGCACGGCGTCAAGGGGTTTTGCTCCGTGTGCAAGGAGTTTATTTAGGAACTGCATTTTTCGGTAACCGATATATGCTCAACCGCACAGGGTGGGGTGCAGCCTTAAAACGCATCGGAGAGCTATCGACCTGCTTAGCTTCCGAGATCTGGTGAGATTTGGTGAGATCAGGTGCATTGTACGAGTGCCTCGCAACCGGTGTGCCATGCAACATTGCAAAGTCCCAGGGGTGCCGTGGTGTTTTCGGAATTATGGAAAGAACCTCACCGAGTCTCAAGATTAATTTTCAAGTGGATCCTGACAACAAAAATTCCCAGTAGGAGGCGATGTCGCTACGTATAATCCCAACACAAGCCTACATTGTGTTTATTTTTAGCTTCTCGGGGGAAAGCGGAGAACCGGGAGGAAACCCTCCGCCTCAGACAGGGGGCCCGAGTCAGGAATGGAACCTAGGGACTTGTTAGTTTGAGGCACGAGTATATCCACCGTGTCTCTTGGGTAGCTGCTACTTTCTTAACCAAAGCAGACTTCAGACTTTGCTCTGGCTCAGTGGTGGGAACAATCAGCTGCACAATCATTTGTGGTGGCATGAAGATGGCATCGGCTGCACCCAAGCACTCTCAGATGAAAGGGGTTGCCCCCTTTTCAACTCTAATGGCTACGTGCGGTTTAATCGTCCAAATTACCCTGCCGCACCACTGTCACGGATGGCCTGGAGTCAGAGATATCGCCGCACAGCATACCGACTTACCCTCATTGCGTACAGAGGTTAGGGTGGCAAGCCAAACGCATGCATCTCTTGCACTGACAGCTGCACAAATTATGGAGAGGTTGGCCTCACGCCGAACACACTCAAAGGTGTGCAAAGGGGCAGGGGGAGAACGATGCACGCGCTCAGAATGACACTGAAAGACATAAAGGGGTGCATGTTGATTCGACGACACATGCAGGAAAATGGCATCATCATCAGCCGTGATCAATCCACTGCTGGATGAAGGTGCGGTGTGAAAGACGCTCAACATATATCCATACATGAGCCTATCCCTACCCTCTGGTTCAGCTCCGTGCAATAAAAGTTGACAAAACTCCACTTCACGACCACTTCCGCCCACCACGCTGATCCCATCACCTAGATTCTTCCGCGCGATGCAATTTCCTAGGGTTTGCCATGAGGGTTACAACGGGGGGCGGAGAAGGGCAGCAGGAGAGCGCGGAGACCCGTGGGGGCGCGGATGACATAGGGCAACAGGTTACAGGGCCACACGATGGGACAAAGGGCTCTGGCCACGTGAACGTGGATGTGGAAAACGGGGTTGGGTTCCAATTGACGTTTTTGCTCAACCCGTGACTGCAGATAAATGTCGAGATCAAGAAGCACAGAGAGGGGCCGGAGTGGAATTACCTGCTCGAGGCGTTATAAGTTTCTAAAATGTTATCCAACGGGAATAACATGAATCCCGAGACACACAAATGAGTCCAGTCGCGTGCTAAATGTGCACAGCACACGAGCGCACAAACGGCACACGGCACGTGTGGCACACGGCACGTGTGACAGGTGGCACGTGTGACAGTGGGCACACGTGAACAGAGGAGCGGTATCTTAACCCGGGTTACCCGTGGTACAAATCGGGACTGCGGGTAAACACACGGCCGAGATAAACTCACGGCCACCTGCCCATCACCCCGCGGTGCTGCGACCCGTTGACTGTGGCCCACATGGCACGGAGCCCGATCTGCAAGGACACGCAGAGTCCACCAGCGGGCATCGCACTACGACCCCAGACACCTCCCCCCCTGCCATCCCACCCAGCTGCTGGAGCAGCCAAGGTGACTCACTCTGCACAAAGATCCCCCACACTCTCCAGCACCCTCCAGCCCCCGTGTCTAACCCTTTAATAGACTGTCAGGGCAAGTGCTGTCAGCGAGCACCTATTATAGCCGGCACGGCACGCGGGGGAGGGGGGTGGTCAGTACCACACCCGGCCACATTCGTCTCCCCGCTGATGATGTTTACACACTGCACGAGGTTCTCATGTCAGCCTGAGTTGACCGAGGGGAGGGCCGAGGACACGTTCAGATATTCGTCACCGATGTTGGCCGTGGGTGGGAACTTAACTTGCCGAGTTCCTAGCGGAATGCATGAACCACGACACTACCGCTCCACAGTGCTCTAACCACTGCACCACCGCACCCCACTGCATAACTACGCTACCCTATAGCTTAACGCCTTTGCACGCACAAATACCACCTGTGCTGGTCTCATGAACCACGCCAATGGTCAGGATGTCTAGCTCTGTGTCTGAAGACATTGTCTTCCGGGCTCTCTGATGTGTGATGTCCGACGTTTCGCTCCACGTGTGGGCAGCTTCTGCAGGAATTCGAGCGGAACGCCGTACAGCACGTGGTGCAGCACGAAAATTGAGAGCCACACGGCACCAGATCTGCGCTCTGGAACCACGGCGATCTGAAACACCCCGCGACACCGCGGAGCAAAGCGATAGCCGCTGCACCTTTTGGTCGAGAGAGAAAATTGGCAGCGAGCTGCACAACTGAATGAACGATTGCTGCGTCACTCATGCGTGTTGTACGACCGTACTTGGTCAGCACTGAGATTGTGAACGGGGAGGCGCACAGGACTTGTTGAGAGATCACTCCCCACTGGTATTGTCACGGCCGGGAATTGAACCCTAGCATCTGGGCTCATAGAGCAATAATGCAGCGACCACCGCATCACCGCTCACTCCACGCAAACAAGTGTAAAGCTTGCATCCACCTGGTCAAACCCAAACATCAGGTGCCCAGAATAAGTCACAAGACTACAGCTTCATTGTTTCCATTACGTCATGGGACTGGCGATGACTTTAATACGTGAAAGTTATGCAGCAGATGAATGGTAAAATTATCTCGTGCCTCTGGTGTGTACCCCCCCTCCCCCACCGTTCTGCCGCCACCGCCCCAAGACCAGGGCGTCATCACATCTCAGCGATCCAAAAATAATTGGCACGCTAAACGCTTGTACACCACGTGACAATAAACGTGTTTGGCTGTGTCGGGTGATGGAGGGTTCTTAGCCACACACATTTTGTCTGATCAGTGCATTGCCGAACCCCAAAAATGTATTACGAGTCAAAAATATGAGCGAAAAAAACCCACTCCATGTTAAAGACATCGTTCCTGTCGCAAGTACCCCCACAATGCAACCGAGTTTATTTGGCAGGCCACACAAAAGCGGCTTTGTTAATACACAGGGCACCTTTGTCACCGCTGCTAGGACATTGATTCCGTAAGCACACACGATGTCCTGGTGGCGGCGGCGGTGCTGAACACCACCATGCTCATCCGTGCTCAACAGGGGCTGGAAAAGCTTTGCGTTTGTGTGCCGTAACCCGCCAGCCAATCACGCACCGCTTGGTAATGCGATTCATTGCTTTAGCAAACGTTGATTAAGGGTATACTCTTTGGTTCTTTGGGTAAATTCACGTAGGTAGAAAAATACCGACGTGACTTTACCGAAAGAACTAACGAGTATGGATTCCTGCAGCCACGAAAGCTTCAAATCAAGGTTGATTAAGAGTGCATCTTGTTTTTTTATATATATACAGTAACTTCATATAATCAATGCTGAGACAAGACTCAAAAAATAAGATACACACCTGGGTTGTGGGTCCCCGGCTGTCCAACACGGGTTTGAAGATTTGTTTAACAAATAAATAAATTAAAACCGAAAGATAGAATAACTTGAGCCAAGCTACCAGCAGTGCCGACTTCGTATTCCAACGTGGACGTTTTCCTTGGAGGCTTGTTTTATTTTGAAGACGCCGCTTTGAAGTCCGGCCGAAATCTTGGCTTGCACCTTTCTTAAGAGAATTATGAAAATGCTCCACAGACTGACGTCAATTGTCGCGGAGGAAACAACTAAATCAGAGGCAAACGTCTCCTTATATATAGAGAGGGAGAGAGCAGCTGGCTCCCCGCTGCCTCCCGATACAAACTGAAACTGCTCGCAGCAGCCAAAGCGTAAATATGAAAACCTCAAGCCAAGCCCACCGCTTGATAAACGCAGCGGATCAGCTGCTTGCACAACCACGGAGCACGCAAACGAGCTAAGCACGTGGAACAAGCCGCACGCACGCGCGCGGAGAGAGACACGGCAGCCAGCAGCTGTTCCGTCGACTGCTCCGGTGCTTCTACGGTTCACCCGCGAGCAGCTTCAGTTTGTATCGGCGGGTGAGCCGAGGTGCTGCCAAAAGCGGGAGGTCCTCGTGGTTGCTTGGCTCCGGGCGCCGTGGAAAGTTTGCGCCGCGCACGTCGAACTGGGACATTTCGGCGGGGTGGGGGGTCACGCGGGCTGGCCGGCGGGCCGGCGGGCCCGCGGGGGGGGGGCGAGCGGGTGGGCGAGGGATGTGTACCGTGCTGTGCTTCAGGCAGATCGTGTTCCACTTGTGAAACAATCCGAGCGGGCAGCTGATATTTATTTTGAGAGCCGTGCCGCCACCGTCGTCGTCGTCATCATCATCATCGTCGTCGCCCACGCCGCCCAGTTTCCCTGCGTGTCCCGTTTGGGTTTGTTCCGTTGTTGTTTTTTTTTTACGGAACAAGTTTGGAAAAGGAACGCAATGATTATCTGGCATAATGGGGGGTTGGTATGGGCTGGACAAACAAAAATAAACGCATGTATGTTAGGTAAAACACGGATATATTGTTTACAGACGTCGAATTCTTCCTTATTAATTTGCCAAATATCCAAATAGAGTATAGAGCCACGTAGCTTGGGGAATTGGCGCCTACATACACACGATAACACGCGCAGAGACGTAAGAGTACACACAATAACACGCGCAGAGACGTAAGAGTACACACGATAACACGCGCAGAGACGTAAGAGTACACACGATAACACGCGCAGAGACGTAAGAGTACACACGATAACACGCGCAGAGACGTGAGAGTACACACGATAACACGCGCAGAGACGTAAGAGTACACACGATAACGCGCAGAGACGTAAGAGTACACACGATAACACGCGCAGAGACGTAAGAGTACACACGATAACACGCGCAGAGACGTAAGAGTACACACGATAACACGCGCAGAGACGTAAGAGTACACACGATAACACGCGCAGAGACATAAGAGTACCATGATAACACGCGCAGAGACGTAAGAGTACACACGATAACACGCGCAGAGACGTAAGAACACAGAGAAGTAAGAACACACGCAGAGATAGAGTCATTCATACGTAAAGAAGCACTCCCGTTGACAGAAACACTCATACAGACATTATCCCACACGAAGGCATTAACGCATTCAGATAGTTTACAAAAACATAGCAATACGTAAATAAATACAGTACAGTTTGAGGTGGAGGAGTTGGAAGAGCAGTTGGAGCACTTGCAAGGTGGAGGAAGTGGAGGAGGTGGAGGGTCTAGAAGGGCGAAGAGGTAAGCAGGCTGATCTTCCTGTATCGAGTGGTACCCTCCTAGGTAGGGCTGTAACTGTGTCTAGGGGTGTTGTTACAAGTGGACATATATCGTTATTCACAAACGAATTGTCATCGGGCTCTTTAAATCGAGTGCCCAAACGCAGTCCCTCACCTCGGCACGTGCTCTGCCACACAATCCTTCATTCTCTTTGACAACCACTCGCAACTCGCTTCTTCACACAACTGACAAACTCATTTATTAATTCACTCATTCTACCCCACCCAATTACTCACCAATTTACCCATTGAACCTCTCACCTCACTCACCAATTCCCTTACTCGCTCGATGCCAAGTGACACTACTTTAGGTGGGGACAGCACGACAGTGACGCAATTCAAGCTATGTCATTTCCTTTGACATCATACTTGCGGATCAATCCTGAAGTATGTCCTCTCAATTTGATATTTTTATACGTGTCTTGATTTTATAGGTAGAACTACCTTTCTTTCATTTATAGTGTAAAGTATTGCGATGCCCTCTTTATTAGGGGCGAGTTTTTACTCAACAAATTAATTGAATTAATTAATTGAATGAGTATCACAGAACTTTTCAGAGCATCCGAAGCTTCGCATCCGTACCGTAACTTTCAGATTCTTCTGATTAAACTGAAAATTAGGATCCAGATCCCTGATGATGGGCTGGCCCCGTTAACGCGATGCAGGCAGAAGCCAGAGCCATTCCCTGTGCGACTTGTGGCCCTGTCCTCAACGCTCGGTGTAAGGGTCTCATAAAAACACGTCAGTTTGACACGTAGGCATTCGCGACCAATATTATGCATAATAAAGGTGTTTTTTTGGGGGGATTAGATCGCGTGAGTATAAATGTGTCGTTAACCCGCCACCACCTGACACAGCCAACCAGCAAGGTTTGTCACTAAACAAAACGTACCAATTAGTGACTACTTCATTTTCAATTTAAGTACCGAGACGTTTCTCTGGCAATTACATCTCGCATCATTGGGCGATTTTATCAGATAAACACACGTTTCTAATCAAATCAAACTCTGCATATATGCATGCATAGATGATACATTTGTGATCTTGGATTTCATTACAGTACTGCACGCAATAAACACCCACGCTAGAAACCCAGCACCGGCCACTCTGCTGCCTCTGACGCACATTCTCTCTGCCTTGCATTCATATGGTGCGCTGCACCAATACGCAGCACGAAGCCTCAATCGGCCCTGCCGTGGCTCTGAGTGCTGGGTGCGTTCGCTAGACCCTAATACTGGGCAATACCTCGATGTACGTTTTCGGTTGCATTCTTAAAAACCTGAACGTAAAAGTGACAAAATCATATATCGAAACGTATTTTCCCATAAGGTCTCATTACATGACCTAAGGTGCGTTCCTAAGAAAAGATGATCTGACCAAAAATTCTACTAACACGACACTTCTTTTCAACACAAATGAGATATTTTCACACATGCAAACACGGAGGATAATAACTCGACAGGTAATGAGAAACGAATACCCGCTCACTGTGATTTACGAACCAAACACTGCAGCGCATGTCATGTGGGGCTATGCTGTGGCTCGGTGCTGAGCGGACAATCCAAAGCATGGTGGAACGCATCCTAGTCCGAGCTACATGGCTTGGTTTATAAACAAGTGGTGATGCTACCAAATACGTTGGCGGCCAGGCAAATGGCCTGGAATAGTATAAAATGCATGCACGGACAAAAGACAAAACGTTAATTTTTTTCTCCGCCAGTGCAAATCCATAGTCTGTGCGCGCGTCACAGTCAGTTGACTAATAATATCAAATCTGGCTGTCCGCCTGATGATGCTAGTTGTAATTACTGGCGAAACGTCGTACTCGGATTATAAATGTTGTGGATTTGCTCTCCAACACACCAGTGTGCTGTAATAGTGACAAATTGGCACGTTCTGTTTACGTGAAAAACCTCACTGATTGTCTGTGTCGGGTGGTGGTGGGTTTAATGACACGTTTATATTTACACGATCTAACCCCCAAAAAAACCTCTCCAATGACCCTTGACATTTCACATGGCCTCCAAGTACACATCGCCTGGCATATGTAGACGTCACCGAGTGGCGAAAGCCGGATGCTGTTGCTGCTGCTGTCACAGACGTACTACTTGTCATCACGCGTGGAGTAGATGCCGTGTCTGTGAAGCACGCATGTGTCTAGACAATTGAGCATGAACGCCAGCTAAACATAGCAGCCTGCACTGCACTGCAGCCCCTACTCACGCGCAGAGGAATGAAGAACGCAGTGTGTAAGCTCTTTTGTTCTTCCAAAATAAAAACTTCATTAACATTCGCGAACCTATTAATCACAACAGGTTGGCCAAATGCCTCCCCGTCCACCCATTGTACTTGAATTAGATAATCCACACTTTTAACTCGTGGAATGCATTCAAATTCGTTTTCAAACACAGACGACTCATGGACAACCCCAACGGAGGTCATTTTCTTGCCCCACTATGGAAATTGCTCACTCCCACAACGGGCTAAAGGGTATAACAACAACAGAGTCCTTTTTTCGTTAATCCGGAAAGGACGATTACCTAAGTGTGCCCCCTGGCTAATAAACGAGATCGTGAGACAGAACAGAGAGATAAGTGAAGATAGCGATATCAGTGAAGAACATTGTGGCCGTCTTAGCCAAAATCCCAAATTCAACAAAGCATGAGAATAGGTTTTCCCCTTTTTTCTGGCAACAAAACAGATGTTAAAACACCAAACTGAAACCTTTAACAAGGAATCATGTCTGCATTAACCACAATACTTGTGGTCAGAATGCAAACAAAAAACACTGATATCATATGCATTGTCCTTGAAACTGATTGGTCCACACCAGTGACAGCTTTCTTTTGAGCCTCGTCTCAAAACGTGTTAGACCAGAGGACGCCAAAAGGCGTACAGCACAAAGAGAATGCCACTATCAGGGTAATGAGGGCTCGGGGTGAACATCTACATCATGGGGCCTCCTTTGCCAGTACCAAAACATGAGCATAGGTTTTCCCCTTTTTTCTGGCAACAAAACAGCTGTGTTAAGATGTTAAAACACCAAACTGAAACCTTTAACAAGGAATCACGTCTGCATTAACCACAATACTTGTGGTCAGAATGCAAACAAAAAAACATTCTCTGATAGTTTCAAAGACAATGCATATGCCTGTGGTGGAGTATAGTTATGGGTAAGTCTATCTCGATCAAGACATCTAGCCAGCGTGGAAGAGTAGGCCAAATACCCTGTGTAGTAGGGTTACCTAGAGCTTCCCTCGAGTGGACGCCCTTTCGACTGCAGCGGCGTGTGGAAGCAATTTCAGGGTTGCACCTTTGCCTTAAGGACAATGACCTCACTGCATCCGATGTTATTTTATTGTAAATAATTACAAACCGAATGCAAGTTTGTACTGTACAGTATAATCGCTTCAGGAATTCAAAGTAAGCAACAACAAAAAGAGAGAGCCATCACGTTTGTTAACCTGCCAGAAGTGACATTAATGTGCCTTGCAAAATACCCGGGCCCGTTATTTCATACGGGGTCATTCGTTGGTGGTTTCACAATGTCAAAGGTCGTGAGGGTCAGTCGCACATGGCTTCACGGAAAAGTTGTTGACACCTGAGGCTGAGGTTGCCTCCACAACGGAGTCTGACATTCAGCTCGGTGACTAAACTGGCACCGCGTTTATAGCACGTGCTTGTGACACCACCACGCCAGTGTTCGCAGCATAGTTCGGCACAGACTCGACAAGACTTGGCACCTACTGCTGGTAAGATAGAGGCCCCCCATTGAGTTTATTGGCTCTTTTACAAGGACTACCGAGCCCTA